CCGAGAAGAGAATCTGTCAACCTCCTTCGCTGCTGAAGCAATTGCAGATTTTTCTCAATAAAAGTGACGCGCATTTCAAGTCCCAGGAACAAGAAAAGGCAGTCGTGCATTGTGTAGCACCAAAGAGCGACGCCTTGGTCGTCCTGCCAACTGGTGCCGGGAAGTCGTTGACTTTCATGCTTCCCGCTTTCACTCACAAGACAAAGGTGATGGTTGTAGTCGTTCCACTTGTGGCTCTGCAGCTTGACCTTATCAAACGCTGCGAAGATGCAGGTATCCAAGCCTGTCAGTGGAATGCGCGGGATGTAGCCGGGGCACGTATTGTTGTCGCCAGCGCCGAGCATCTGTCTTCACCAGACTATCAATGTTTCCTTAGGGAACTAAAGGTTATGAATAAGCTGCATGCAATATTCGTGGACGAGTGCCATCTGGTTTTATTATGGCACAGTTTCAGAGAAGCCATGAAGTACTTGCGCGGTTTCATTCGTCCAGAACTCGTCAATGTGCCAGTTATCGCTCTAACGGCAACAGCCCCACCGTCCATTGAACAACAAATTACTTCCGCATGTGGATTGTCAGACTTCATCACTGTGCGTCAGAAAACGTCGAGACGGAACATCAGGTATGAAGTTTACAACGTGAAGAGGCAAAATCTCAATCGTAAGGTGGACGAAATGCTTGACTATTTGCGTAACGTTTCCGGTACATCTCCCTCCAGAGCCATCACTTACGTGCAAACAAAAGATGAATGTGACTCGCTCTGTATGATGTTACAAACCCTGAACCCGGACATGCCTTGCTTCAAATATCATGCAGGTATGGAAAAGGATGACAGAAATGCAATGCAATCCGGCTGGGAAGATGAATCTGATGGACTTCCGCACGTCATGGTTGCAACGAAAGCATTTGGATGCGGCATTGACATCTCCACTGTTCGGATTGTCGTACATGCTGGTCTTCCAAGCACGCTCACTGAGTACGTGCAAGAAAGCGGACGTGCCGGTCGTGACGGCCAACCTGCCAAAAGTACTGTGCTTAATATTATCGATCAGTTCAATCATTCAGTTGAACCGCAATTGTCCGGTTTCGGTCCTGTACATGGGCTTACAGAAGCAGCTGGTGAGTGTCGTCGGTGGCTGGTGGACCTGTTCATGGACGGGTGTTCTGATCACCGACCTTGTCAAGAACGTGGGATGGAGGCTTGTGATATTTGTTCTTCCGAAGGAAGTGGAATACGTTTACGTAGACGTGCTTCCGAATTCCAAAACGAGGACACCTGCAGGAAAGAAGTTCAGATTCGACCTACAAGGAAGCGCGTGAACGCTCCAAAGAGGACAGAATCTCCGCAAACACCATCGAAAGTTGCGCATACTCCATCGGACACGGTTACGCCTTCTCGACGCCCTACTCCATCGGACACGGTTACGCCTCCTCGACGCCCTGGTAAGGACTCGCGAATGAAGGCGTGGAGCAGTTGCGCCTCTGAGACCTCGGCCAGTGCAAAAGACATATGCACTGGGTATTCTCCTCGCCTGACCAAGTTCTTTTGTCCTGTATGTAGTGTGAAGAAATCGTCTCTCGTGGAACACAAACCCAATGCCGATGAAAGGTATTGGGCATGCTACAACCGTCGTTGTTTACGATGCGGCCACGAAGGACATGGCGTGAAACAATGTACCATGTTTCGGGGTATTGTAGGGGCATGTCGCTGTTGTGGTGTCCGCTTCTGTTTAGGGTCTATTGTGCACCCAGCGAAAACCTTTGGTCAGAACAACTGTCCTATCAAGAAGATTATTTCTATGGCTCTTCTAGTTTGGAATGATACAAACATGAGACAAGAGCTTCGTGATGCATTCCAGCATCTCTCTTCTGTGAAGACGGTAGAAGAATTTGAAAAATGGATCCGTGGTAACGAGAACGACTCCGAAGCAGATAAATTTGCAGAAATCGAGGACCCCGGTCTATTCAGGGTCGCTCCATGGCTATTTCAGAATGTTCTAGGAATACGCATGTAGTTTTGGATGATTAATATTCAAGAGTGTTCTAGGAATAGTCACATAGCTTTGAATGATTACGTAAAGTGTAGAATTTCTCATTGGCATTTCTCGGCGTTGGACAGAAGACAGGAGGGCCGGGTATGCGATAGCTGTGCTATGAGTATCGATGTACAAGCAGATGTAACGAGCAATGATAGAGCAATGATCAACAGAATGGTATGGTCTTTGCTAGAAGATGAGATCAGTGGACTACCAAAAACAAGTAAACGCGCTTGCAAAGAGCCGTCGATTATATATGTTTTCATGAAATTTTTATCTTCACTTCTGCAGATTTGCTTTCTTTGTTACAGGGGGGTCGCCATATAGTGCCATCTTTGTTAGTGTCAGCTCAAACCCCTAATCCCCCATTGAACACGAGCCTAAATCAATGCCATAAAATCACATGCTTAATGCAATTGAACATTCCACTTCACTCGGACCCATATTTCCAACAATATGGAACACACCATACTACCGTGACTACCACACACTATGAGACTCCCACTCCCCCCTAACTTTCAAAACCCATGCGAAGAGGCCATCCCACAAAATCATATAGAAAATAGGCACAGCACTACAGGAGAGTACCTTCCCCCTCTCCGATCGCGACACCGAGCACCGCACTCCTCGTCGCTAACTCTGAGCTAATGAAGAAGTTCAATAAACTTCGAAACGTTCCCAACTGCACGCTAGTACTAGCCACCAATAGCAGCCAACCCCTATAACCTATATTCCCCCTAACCCCGCAGGTATACCCCGACCCGGTGTCCCAAGTGGGCACAGCCAATGGACGGGTGTCGTGGATGAAAGGAACGATTGCATGAAAGTCACAGTGTCAGGGCGAAGGCGTAGATGTGCGAGGTGATAGTTGTACGAATTCTGTAGCCAATGGACGGGTGTCCCAAGAGAGAATGGCCAATGGATGGGTGTCTCCAGAGGGAATGGCCAATGGATGGGTGTCTCCAGAGGGAATGGCCAATGGATGGGTGTCTTAGATGGAAAGCAGCAGTCAAAAGAGAGAGAGCCAGTGAGTACAGTTTTAAGGCGGGAAAAAGGGCATTCAAACCTGAAAGGCGGGAAGAGTGGGATTCAAAGTAGCCAACAGGTGAGTGCCATGTCAAGAATGATCATAACGAGGGCTGCCACAGGGATGAAACCAGCGATGAAACCTTCCATCCGACGAATAGGCCTTCCGTCCGAGATTCGGGACTTCCATCCGCCACGGAGCGTGCGGAGTGTTTTGGCCCGTGCTTTGATATAATTTTTGCAGATATTTTATGGAGCCAGTAGGCCTTCCATCCCAGGAATCTTCAATAGCGATGCCAATTTCGACGCCTAACCTCCCATCCGTCCAACCCATGGGTATAGGATGACGTCCATCCGGCCAACGGCTGCCGTCGGATGCATGTCGGCAATTTTCCACGTCCATGCGGTATGATAAAATAATCAAATTTGGCCCTGTGCGCATTGAAGTTTTTCCAGATTTTTTTCTAGCCAATGCGCACTCCGTCAGACCGAAGTAAATTTGCGCTTAATTTCAGCGCACCTGAACGCGCGTCTGTGCGGACATGGGTATAGGGATAGTCGTAAGAGGGCGGGCGCGTTGGGGGAGGGGCAACAGGAGTACGGAAGGGGTGCAGTGTGGTTCCAGAGAGCGCGCGAATGAGATTGTCTCATACAGTATGTGGTCATTCAGGGCGGGGGAAGGAGTGGAACGGACAGAGTAAGTGAGATCAGTAGTAAACCAATAGATGCGCGTTACGAGGAGCGCCAGCCAGTAGATGCGCGTCGGGATTCAGGGGCTTGAATAGGAGAACTGCGAATGATATCGTGACAGCCACGAACGGGACCAATGACGCGACATGACAGCGAGGATGACGTCCATCCGGCCAACGGCTGCCGTCGGATGCATGTCGGCAATTTTCGACGTCCATGCGGTATGATAAAATAATCAAATTTGGCCCTGTGCGCTTTGAAAATTTTCCAGATTTTTTTCTAGCCAATGCGCACTCCGTCAGACCGAATTAAATTTGCGCTTAATTTCAGCGCACCTGAACGCGCGTCTGTTCGGACATGGGTATAGAAATTAAATTAATGTTTTCCAAATATGGATTTTTTTAAATGGGGCTCGGGGTGAAGTAGTTTAGTGCTGTGTGCTGTAATTGTTTATTGTACACTGTCATTTTGCCTTAGCTTCTCACGGATACCTCAACTTCAGCTCCACGTTTCATTTTTACCTAAACTCCTCATGTCTCTGGGCTCTATAAATAAATAACCCTCCTCGGCGATCTCAAAGTTGCCCCTTCGAGCCCTCCCAATATCCTCATGCTTTTCCGCCTCTGCTCGTTCTCCTCGCTTCGCCTCAGTCCTCACCCCTCCGTTTGTATCCTCAAGTCTTAACATGCCCAGGTACGCAAGCCACGCGGCAACGCGCCAGGCCGCTCATGATCAAATCGACACCATGTTCTCCGGCGGCCAGGCAGACGATTTGGACAGCTCCAGTACCTCTCTGCATCTAGACGAAGGCAATCCCAGCCTCAAGGTTGAAGGCAAGAACGTCTGGATCTATCATGGCACCAGCAGGAAATACCAATTGCGCAAGCTTTCCGACCTCACCACCGATGACCGTGTATTCACGCCAAGTAGTCATATCATTCTTTCCGCTGCCGTCATCAAGTTATATAAAGCGTTTACCGGGGCTCT